CTCACAGTGGATCTTTCTTATAGCGCCGACAGCCTCTCCAGTTCCCTACTGTGATGGTTGAGGCTCAAGTGGGGAAGAGGACCCCTCTCCTTTCACTTCAACACATGGCTTTCAAATAATGATGCATTGCAACTGAGACAGCTGAAGGACTCGCAGAATGATCTAGTTCTATAATTTGTCTTTGTGTGAATTGTCCAAGAAATAGTTAAAGCTAAACTCCAGGAATTGTTTTTTTTTTTATTTAACTTACCAGCGGTACACTGATCACAAGGAGTCACTCGATCCCCTACTCTCCCCATTCTGCAAATGCCTTTTATTTTTTGGTAATAAATACAAGATGTTCTCTGATTGCACGAAGGAGATAGGAGGAGCAGATGACGTCACAACGATTACCTTGTCCAATCAGAGAATGCCTTGCATTATTAGGGGAAACAAATACAAGACATTTTCTGAATGGTGGAGGTATGGGAGCCACTCCCTGTGTTCAATGTACAGACAGCAAGTTGCACCAGCACCTTCTGAAACAGGACAGCTCTGGCTGTTTGTAGCATAGACTACATCAATGAATTTCAGCAAGAATCAGTGGCCCTTTGCTGGCCTCAGGCTGACCCAATGTAAGTTTAAAATAATTCCTGGATAATTCCTGGAGTTCAGCTTTAAAATGCCCAGAACTTTACCCTTAGCATAAAAATTACAAGAAAGGCACTTTTAGAAATGTTTAGTAGTGGCAATCTACAAACAGATACTTAGATGATTGCAGGCTTTTCATTCTTTGTATGTTTTATTTTTATCTTTCTCCCCTTTCTTCTCACGGCAGCCATATTAACTAGGGGCAAATTATTCTATCTACATTACTTTCTGGAAGTCTGCCTAGAACTCTGGGTCTACCTCTTGGAACATGTGGCAGGAACTTCCCAGGATGCAACTGTGAGCCCAGGGTAAGTTCACCAGGGCCTCAAGAGACTCGGGAAACCATTCATCCCAATTATTTTACTCGCATATATGCCCCTCAGCTGATTTTGAAAAGTGACTACAGGTGCAAGGAGAAGAACCCAGTCCAGTGTCACATGAGAGGGATTTGGGGGGGTGAATGCACCTAATATGTTCCAAAGGTGAACTTAGCCTTTAGCCCTTTCGCTGCCAGAGCTGTATTTGTGAAAGGGTTAAGGCACATCTTTTCATATTGAGGATTATTAACAATAATTCCTCCCTTGTCTGTAGGTTTATTTTGATTTTGCTAAACGTCCATAAATAGCTCCGCCCACCCCCATCCTCAAATACTTACCTGAGCCTGATCACAATACATCACTCTGCCCAAGAGAGCTCACTCTCTCTTCTCACAGGGCTCAAAGGTGGCAGAGGGAGTCACTGGGTCCTGCTGCTGTCAATCAAAACCAGTGAGGAGGGAATGGAGGGGTGGTTCAGAGCTGTGCTATGTGTGTCTATAGACACACACAACCAGACTCAGGAGCGATCCCATAACATCTACCCCCATTGCAAGCTCCTGCAATGTGGCAGACACAGAAGAGGAGGAATGGACAGCACTGGCTGGGGACCCCAGAAGAGGAGGTTAGTACAAAGCAGGTAAGTATAACATGTTTGTTTAGTTTAAATTTTAAAAATTGCCTTTATTAACAATTTAAGTCTTTTACAGCCTATTTCCACGCTTTCAGTATAATACGATATTTAAATTTAATATAAAAAAAGCATGTATATTCAGGTTATTTTTCCAGGGATGGGGGCATCTAAAATCTAAGGCTTACCAACAGGATGGTGGATTATTGTGGGTCTAATAGGACAGCCTTAGTCCTCCTTCACATGGCTGTTTAGCCTCATACACAGGATTCCATCATTAGATTCTTACAGCTGGAATGACAGGTATATACGTATAGTCGTAGCCACTTGAAAAGCGATGGCTGTTGTCAGCTAGTCAATGCCTCTTCCATTCTGTGGGCTTTTTAAACGTCATCAATAAGATCACCTGGCTTACTCTTCTTCAACAATTCTACCAAGTCTCTTGTTGCCCTAAGCTCTTTCTTGAATTAATGAGACATGTCCTGAAATCCACTGTCCTATTGGTAAGCTTAGAAACCTTCTGTTAAAAAATATGGGGTTGATTTACTAAAATTGGAGATGTAGGAACTATTCTGTGCTCGCAGAATTAAAATCAAAGGCCTGAACGTACGATCTCTACATAATGTAACATGGGCATGCTGGAAGCCATTTTGTTCTATATATTCTATGTTCATGGTTTCTGAACAAAGACTTTAATATCAGACATTCTCAGTTTCTTACAGCATATTTCCCAGGTTGTAAATTTGGGGGGGTATGGTTGTACCAGACAGCCACAAGATAAGGACTGAGCATGATACCAATTTGTAAGATTAATTGAGGAGTCCATGTCTGTAATGAACACAGGACAAAGAACTGTTAACAATGATTTTTTTTCCATGAACATCTGGAAAAGAGTTCATATTAAAATTAACATTGTATATGGTGTTATTATTATTTGACAGGATTATTTTAACCACTTGCCCTCTGGAAGATTTACCCCCTAATGACCAGGCCATTTTTTCTATTTGGCACTGCGCAGTTTCAACTGGTAATTGCGCAGCCATGCAACGCTGTACCCAAATGAAATTTGTATCCTTTTTTTCACACAAACAGAGCTTTTTTTGGTGGTATTTGATCACCACTGGATTTGTTGTTTTTGTGATATAAAGGAAAAAAAAACTGTAAATTTTGAAAAAAGTTAGTCATAAATTTAGGCCAAAATGTATTCTGCTACATTTGGTCTTTGGTAAAAAAAAAAATACCTACATGTGTATATTAATTGGTTTGTGTGAAAGTTAGTGTCTACAAACTATGGTATATATTGGTATGTATTGGGATCTACGCAACGTTTACTTTCTGAGTAGGCAAAAATCCTTGCACCGGCCCCGTTTACATGAAAAAACTTTTTTCTTTGCTAGAAAGTTACTTTGAAACCCCAAACATTATATATATTTTTTAAAGCAGAGGCCCTAGAGAATAAAAAGGTGAGTGTTTAAAAGTTTTTTATGTTACACAGCATTGCGCAGCAATTTTTCAAACACAATTGTTTTTAAAAAAATACACTCTTTAGAGTTTTAATGCACAAAAACACAATATATTGCCAAATTGTTTGATAAAATGTAAAAGATGATGTTACGCTGAGTAAATGGATACCAAACATGACATGCTTTAAAACTGTGGATATCCATGCAACAGCGACAAACTACGTACATTTTTAATATCCATAGGTGATGATTTAAAAGCCTTTACAGGTCACCACTTTAGATTTGCACAGGAGGTCTAGTGCTAGAATTACTGCCCTCAATCTGACGTTCGCAGTGATACCTCACATACATGGTGCTATCTCTGTTTACTTACTGACAAGAGACCACCGTTTGCGCTTGCCTTTGCATGGGGGGGGGGGATTTTTTTTATTATTTTATTTTTTTGCTTTTTTTATTTTTACACTGTCCCTTTCATTTTTTTTTTTTAGCACTTTTCTTGTTATTACAGGGAATGTAAATATCTCCTGTGATAACAATAGGTTGTGACAGGTACTCTTTTCTGAGAAATCTGTGGTCTATTAGTCTCTAGATCTCTCCTCTGCCCTTAAAGCATCTGATCATACCAAGATCGGTGTGATCAGATGCTTTCCCATTTTTAAAATGGCGCTGTTTCGGCAAAACGGAAATTATGAAATGCTCATTGCTTCCGTTCTTAGACCTTAGAGATGACTGAAGGTATTCCAAGCTCTGATCCGCTCTATGGACAGCCAATGGAACTACTGGCTGCATTCTTGGGTTCCCCTGTGGGACAGGAGAGCCCAAGAAAACAGTGGAAGGTGGCGGGAGGGGGGTGGCTGTCCCTTCCTGCTGCTTGTAAATGTGATCCAATGGCTAATTAGCTGCTAGGTTTGTTTTTACATGAAAGCTGACCGCCAGCTGAAATAAATTATACCAGGATGATGCCTGTAGCTACAAGCATCATCCTGATATAACCACTCAAAGTCCAATTGCTGGTCCTAGTTGGACATATATGTAACAGCAGAGAACATGGGCATATGATAAATCGGGTCTGTGAACCAATATGACCGCAATTCTTTTTTTTTTTTTCTTTGTAATGCCCATGTTGAGGATTATGCCCAAAAAAGTTTTAAATTCAGAAACCGTGATAAGTTTCCATGCAAATTGGCAAGAGCTGAACTTGGGTGGGCGGCAATGTATTGTTGTGTGCACAAATTGCTTTGGCCCACAATCAATTCACACAAATCTTCCGTGAAAAAAAGCGGAATGGCTACATGCTAGTGCTCACAACAAACGGGGATGATCTTGCTAATGCTGTGTTTTTGGGAACACTATACTATTATAGTTCTGTTCATGATCAATATATTGATCCGTACAAGTACTATAATAGCAATGGTGGTGATCAGCAACCTATAGCGTGAGTGCGATAATGTGTGGGCAATCTAACACTACCTGACTCTGAGTGGGAGGGGATCAGTGAAAAATTCTATATACTAACACTGTACTAATGGCAATGGCTGGGTCTGGGTGATAGAGTGATCAAAGGGTTAATAAGGGCTATCAAAGGGATAAATGTGCTAATCTAATGTGTGTGTAAAATGTAGTGCTTTTACTCAATGCCGTGTTCTCTTTTCTCTCTCTGGACTGGCATAGGGGGGCAGTGGGGGGGGGCACACACACAACCAGAAATAGAAAGTGGCATCAGGGTATGTCGCTTTGCCCAGAGCCACCAGGAACCTGAACATTATGGGCAGGTGGGTGGCAAGTAGTGAAAAAAAAAAATTCTCAATATTTTAACTTTTTTAACCGCCTCCCGCCCACCATATAAGGTAATGACGGGTGCAATGCGGTTCTCTCGTTCTTGGAGGACGTCATATGACGTCCTCCCACTCTAACCCGCGCGTGCACGGTGGCGATCGGTGGTACGCTGTGTCCCTCGGACAAAGCAGATCACCGATCAACGAATAGAGCCGAAGATGTCGGCTTGGTCATGTGATCAACTGTGTCCAATCACAGCTGATCGCATGTAAATAGGGAAATGCCAGTTATCGGCATTTCTCTCCTCACGAGCTGTCACGCTGACAGCTCATGAGGAGAGGAGAGCCGGTAATCGGCATTCCACAGAGAGGACATGTACACTGATCATCAGAGCACTGATGATCAGTGTGCCCTGATGATCAGTGTAACCCCCGCAGTGCCACCTGTCAGTGCTCATCAATGCCACCTGCCAGTGCCCATCAGTGCGTCATCAATGCCACATATCAGTGCCTACCAGTGCACATCAATGCCACATATCAGTGCCCATCTGAGCTGCCTTTCAGTGTCACCTATCAGTGCCAGCCAGTGCCACCTATCAATGCCAGTCAGTGCCGCTTATCAGTGCCATATATGAGTGCTGCCTTTCAGTGCCCATCAGTGATACCTGTCAATGCCCATCAGTGCCACCTACCAGTGTCTCCTCATCAGTGCCCATCAGTGCAGCCTATCAGTGCCCATCACTACAGCCTCATTAGTGCACATCAGTGAAGAAGAAAAATCACTTATTTACAAAGTTTTATGACAAAAACTAAGAAAAAAATATATTTTTTTAAATTTTCAGTTTTTAGTTTGTTTAGCAAAAAATAAAAAACCCAGAGGTGATTAAATACCACCAAAAGAAAGCTCTGTCTCAAAAAATGATAAAAATTTCATATGGGTACAGTGTTGCATGACCACGCAATTGTCATTCAAAGTGTGACAGCACTGAAAGCTGAAAACTGGCCTGGGCAAGAAGGGGGTATAAGTGACCTGTAGGCAAGTGGTTAAACATTATTTTTCTTTTTTTTTTTTTTACTATTTTTTTTAAATCCTTTCATCAGAGTAATACAATGTTACCATAGTAATCATAATGATTAGGGATTTTTTTTTTTTTTTTACACTTTGCATTGCAGGAGCAATAAAGATTACGGGTATGTCACTGGTCCTGTAGCTGCCGCCCATTCGCAGTACATTGCAAGCGGGCGGAAAGAGTTTAATCAAAAATGTCAATAGTAGGTTTATTATTATGAAGTGAATACTTGCCTAAGTAAGTCATTTGGGTTTTGTATTACTATATTCAATTTCCATATTTATATATATTTTATCTATATTAATTTTATCTATATTAATTGGTTTTAGTAATTAATACATATTGGTATATATTTTGGATATGTTTTCAACATTTAATAATTATTTTGAGTTTATTATATTACAACATCTGTATGCTACAGAAATTAGGTAATTAGGAAATCTCAGTACAAATGACCTCAGCAAAATGTCTGTAAGATGTATAGAATTTTTTATCATAATCACTTAGGCAATACATTACTTTAAGTGACACTGGTCCCAGTTTGTCTAAGCAGTTCTGTCCAAAGAGCGACTACTTCTAAAATGTATAGTTTTTTAACAAGCTGAATGTTAGAGATCAATCCTTGACATGGCACAGGAGTTTGTAGGAAAAATCTAAAATTATTCTTTATCCTATACTACCCCATTTAGGTAACTGGGATCATTTAGTAAGGAAATGACATCTAGAATGACGTCATAATTAGGCGAAATAAGCTTTGCCCACCTAGGTTTTTTGGCGTGGTAAAAGTTAGAAGATGGACAGAGGAAAAAGAGGGGACGAAAGACAAACACACACACACACAGAAGTGAGTTGACAAAAAGCTGACATCACTGATACCAAAGAATCTATATTGGTAACCTATCATTTTTCTGCAGGCAATTTGTGCTCGCCTTACATCTCCAGCTAAACCGTTTAGTCTGATAACGGTTATGGTTAGCACTGGAGTTGATTTGAAATCATTTTAACTGCAGTAAAATTATCTTAATTTCAATTTCTCAGGGGGGGAAGATTATTTTTGGAATATCCCCAAAGCTGATTTCAGCTTCTGGTCAATGGTTTAGTTGGGTATATATGACAAAGTAGACAACTTAGTGAACATGTTTTCTTGACCTCGGATTCTAAGCTTTTTTGGATTGTCCTGTGTATGGTACTCTAAATCCGTTCATGCCAATGTAAACTTTGAGCTTTGAACATTTGGTTGTAAGATCACGTGATCAATTTGTATAGCCTTTGTCATATTCAACTGAGTAACTGTTTCCCACGCTGCACTTCTAAACAGTTGGTCCTATTTCATTAATGTTTTATAATATTGCTGGTTTGAATTTCACCACCGAATATACACTATATTGCCATAAATATTGGGACACCCCTCCAAATCATTGGATTCAGGTGTTCCAATAACCTCCATGGCCACATGTGTATAAAATCAAGCACCTAGGTATGCAGACTGCTTCTACTAACATTTGTGAAAGAATGAGTCGCTCTCAGGAGCTCAGTGAATTCAAGCATGATACCGTGATAGGTTGCCACCTGTGCAATAAGTTGATCTGTGAATTTTCCTTGCCTACTAAATATTTCACGGTCAACTGTTAGTAGTATTATAACAAAGTGGAAGCAACTGGGAACAACAGCAACTCAGCCATGAAGTGGTAGGCCGCGTAAAATGACAGAGTGGGGTCAGCGCATGTGAAGCGCACAGTGCACAGAAGTCGCCAACTGTTTGCAGAGTCAATAGCTAAAGACTTCCAAACTTCATGTTGCCTTCAGATTAGCACAACAACAGTGCGTAGAGAGCTTCATGGTATGGGTCTCCATGACCGAGCAGCTGCATCCAAGCCTTACATCACCAAGTACAATATAAAGCGTCGGATGCAGTGATGTAAAGCACGCTGCCAGCAGTGGAGACATGTTCTCTGGAGTAACGAATCACGCTTCTCTTTCTGGCAATCTAATGGACATGTCTGGGTTTGGTGGTTGCCAGGAGAACGGTACACACCTGACTGCATTGTGCCAAGTTTAAAGTTTGATGGAGGGGGGATTATGGTGTGGGGTTGTTCTTCTTCAGGGATTGGGCTTGGCCTCTTAGTTCCAGTGAAGGGAACTCTTAAGGCATCAGTATACCAAGACATTTTGGACAATTTCATCCTCCCAACTTTGTGGGAACAGCTGAGGGATGGCCCCTTCCTCTTTCAACATGACTGCACACCAGTGCACAAAGCAAGGTCCATAAAGACATGGATGAGCGAGGTGGAAGAACCTGGCTGACCTGCACAGAGTCCTGACCTCAACCCGATAGAACACCTTTGGGATGAATTTGTGTGGAAACTGCGAGCCAGGATTTCTCGTCCGATATCAGTGCCTGACCTCACAAATGTGCTTCTGGAAGAATGGTCAAACATTCCCATAGACAAACGCCTAAACCTTGTGGACAGCCTTCCCAGAAGAGGTGAAGCTGTTATAGCTGAAAAGGGTGGGCCAACTCAATATTGAACCCTACGAATTAAGAATGGGATGCCATTAAAGTGTAAAGGCAGGTGTCCCAATACTTTTGACAATATAGTGTATTTTAACTACCATTTTGTACTGATTTTATCATTTAAAATATTAATATATATATATATATATATATATATAATATATATACAGTGGGGCAAAAAAAAGTATTTAGTCAGCCACCAATTGTGAAAGTTCTCCCACTTAAAAAGATGAGAGAGGCCTGTAATTGGCATCATAGGTAGACCTCAACTATGAGAGACAAAATGAGCCCTGAGGCAAAAAAAAAATCCAGACAATCACATTGGCTGATTTGGAAAGAATTTATTTGCAAATTATGGTGGAAAATAAGTATTTGGTCAAATACAAAACAAGCAAGATATTATGGAACTACTGCTATACATGAGAGGAACCATGCATCTGTTAGATATATTTGAATGGTTGCATTAGCCCAATAATCACTAGCAACAGTGGATGTAGATGCCCTCCACTTTAATATCTCCCATCGTAAGGGCATAGATGTTGTTAAAATGTTCCTAAACCAAAACAGCCAGGATCGGTGGAAGTATATTGCATTCATTCTAGAAGTGTTGAAATTTACTGTATCTTGTATCATAATGTATTTGGATTCACTGGTCCCTACTCCCTTCAGATGCAGGACAGGAAATGGGCACATGTTCTGCCCTGTTTTACTCCCATCTGTACCTGGGAGTGTGGGAACAATATATTTTCTTGGATGTGGCATTGTCTATGTGCCTGCACCTGCCATGTTTAATCCTAGTACAGGTACATGGATGATATTATGATAGTCTTGGATGGAACCAGGCAAGAGCTGGAGACATTCTTACCTGTGCTCAAAGATATTTTCTACAATTTGAGGTTTACGATGGTGTGCAGTCAGCAATGTGTTTTGTTCTTAGATATGCAAATATATGTGAATGAGGATAGAACTTTAACCAGCAACCTCTATCATAAGGACACTGCTGGAAATAAAATACTACATTCTACAAGTTCACAATCAGTGGCACTTTTAAGATTTCTTCCATTCAGTCAATATCAATTTCTAAGGACTAAATGAAACTGTTCAAGAGAGGAAGAATTCCAGCAAAACTATTGCCATGGGGCTACAGCAAATCCTGCCTGAAAAAAAGCAAATCAGAGAGTGACATCAAAACCACAGAATACTATCCTGATTAGTGGAAATAAATGGCAAAGACCAGGTGTGGATACAGTGAGGTTTATCATGTATTATACTATGCAGCATGAAATGATTAGAGACATACAAGTACTGTGAGGGAAAAACAAATACGGTAGATTACTGGAGAGCCACCTCCATAAAGTATTACATAGTAGAGTCAATACAAAGGTGAGTACAGGAAAGACTCCTGCGTGGCAAGGGGCACGTATAGATGCAGTACTTGCTCATGCTGTCATTTCATAAACACACAACATCATATGGTGTTACCCAATGGCCAAGTGTTTCATCCCAGACATTTTGTTAATTGTAGATCACTAGGTGTTATTTATTTATATACTTGTAGGTGTGGGACCTTTAATATTGGCAAAAAAAGGGAATTTTGGCAGCATATTTATGTCATATGATCATGTGTATGCAGTTCAAATTAGGCACTGGAGTTACTCAACTGGCAGACAGAGCCATATATTCTAAATATACATTTACTGTATATGGACATTGTAGAATTATTAAAGTGGTTGTAAAGCCTGGACCTTTTTAGCTTAATGCATTCCCTGCATAAAGAAAATAATGCCCCTGTATTTGTATTGCCCTTTTACCCCCTTGTATACTTACCTGAGCCCAATCTTCATCCAGTGCTGTGTCCCTTTGCAGCAGCTCACCCCTCTCTTTCTGCTCATCTGCTCACAGAGACAGCAGTTTAGCCATTGGCTCCTGCTGCTGTCAATTAAATCCTGTGAGCAGAGAGTGGTGGAGGGGGGCTGAGCTGCTCTGTGTGTGTCAATTGAGGCACACAGCCCGGCCTGGGAGCAAACCTGCTGGTGCGCTCACCCCACCCAACCCCCATTGGAAGCGACTATGGTG